CTGTACGAATCAAATTTTAATAAATCCAATGAATGTCACTTAGATTAATCCACAAAAATCACAAATACAATCCAAAATGCTCGTATTACATCCAAACGACGTTCCTTACCTTGAGTTCTCTTCGGTGTTTATGAGGACTTTACGCAAAAATTTGGCAAACGCGAGTCACGTGGTGATTTAGACCAGCCCAGCTTCATATTTAACCAATGAAATTGCTTACATTTATCAGTTGCCATGCTTTTTCGGGTCTCGCTACCTCAAAAGTGTTGTAAACAATATGCCCTGTTTAAAAGTAATAATAAGTTAAGAAAATAGTAAAATACAAAAATCGCAAATATAGTAAAATGTTCTACGTTTCAGTTTTACGACGTTCTTACTTGTTAGCACGTGCAGCGTATATAAATGGTGGGTTTAAAAAAACACATAAAAATTGTGCATTTAAATTATGTGTTATCAGTTTATTTTTATTTATACGTTTCTCGTGCAGTCCTACTGTTTTACAAACGAGCATTGGCAAAGTTTCGCAGCTATCGGTGTTTAAGTTTGATATATGCGCAAATAATAACAAGGCACCATTGAAATTCCAGGTAAACGCTTCTGATATCTCGATTGAGCAATTTGATAATTGCTGGGTAATGAATGCCACAGACAATTCCAGGAGATAGCTTTGACGACCACTTAAGTTTTGCAATTTTCTTATGCACGTGCTGTTGGACAGTTCAAGTATCAAGTCTTCTAACTCTTTAATTTAATATTATTCATTAAAAATACAGATGTGTTAGTCAGTATATTGCCGTTTACCAGTACTGTACATAGCCTTATTTAAACATGGAATTGTTTGCACACTCTTAGAAATGTCTAGTGACTTATAGTTCTTGGTCAACTTATCACGCAATGTTGTGTCTGTATGTACATAGATAATAATTATTTAAATACACACTTTCTTCAGCAAATTAAAAAAATCCATCTGGGGCATTACTGCATGTGACTTTTAGAATAGTTGCAAATGCTACACGTAAATTGCCCTATTTCCGTACTTGTAATTTTTAAAAACAATTTTTGCTTAGATAAAAGATAAATAATTCCTATATGAAGTAATGACTGGTTTCCGTGCACTATGCACTAGACAAGTAAGTTAGAATTACTCGACTCGACACAGGTGTTTTAGACACATCTTCAACTACATGTACCGTATTATAAAATATTAAAAATACTGTACTGAAAACAAAGAACAGCTTCAGGAACTGGGGTCAACATGAATTGCTTTAAATGCTTTTTCTATGGCCTTGCAGTTTGGACCATCTATATGTAATCTGTTGTAATATATTAGCTTACTAGTATCTTATAATGCAAGAGTGAAAGAGCATCTTCCCAGATTCTAGAAAAAGAAAATTGTCCCAAAGTTTCATCCATCTTGTTTGTATTCAGAATTAGTATGGATAGGATGAGAAATTTATCATCCTAGTAACATACAAAGTGTTTATATATATATAAAAACAAATGCTCTTTATGGTTATAATTGGCGACATGTCCGGTATTCGTACTCGACAGCGAAAGCTGCATTAAGGGCATGAAAGGGCGGATGGACCCTCATTAAGCACACTTCATCATCATCAAGCTGTTGCTCTATAGTAACTTACCTGTGACACAATGAAGTCGGGCAAAATATAGAACAAGTATTTATATTTAATGCTAACTTTTTGCCCAACTTAGACTATAAACTGACATTAACTAGATCTATAGCATCTTTTCATTGCTTTTCGTATCTTTCAACTGATTTAAATAAAGGGCTTCATTAGGAATAATACAATGATTTTGTTCATTACCTTTGCAGTATAAATAATAGAAGGAGCATCATAACTAGGGCTATCTGATTTGTACGAACCCCCCCCCCCCCCCCCAGTATAAATCAGATTGCTGAGTGTTTTGATGTTCCATAGGCAACAATAAAAACATGTTCCCTGTTGTCTCAGAAAAATAGTAACCAATGAACGAGCATCTGATTATGACATTTCTATAGTTACCCCTTTCTCTGTAGTCACATTAAGTAAACCCCAGAACAAATGTGCCAATCGGTAATACCTGCACTCCAGTTAACGCCCTATGCATGTATGTGTGTACGATTTTACTCTGGCCTATTTTCAACAGGAAGGTCCACAAACTATGATACAATGGGTATTTAAAGAAATAAATAAGAGTCAATGATTAAACAAAATACTTTTTTTAACATTAGATAATACTACACTGAATAATTAAAACAATGGAATAACAAAACAATAAGTAATAAATAATCAAACAAAGAATAATAGAACAAGGTATAACAAAACAATAAATAATGAATAATCAAACAAAGAAAGAATAGAATACAATGTAGTTATAATGAATGATCAAACAAAGAATAATATAACAAGGAATAATCAAGTACAAACAATAAAACAACAGAATAATCAAACAAAGAATAATCAAACAAGGAATAATCAAACAAAGAATAATAGAATAAGAAGTATAATGAATCAATGAATAATCAAGCACAGACTACCAAAATAAGAAATAAATGGGAATAATAAAGCTATGAATAAACAAAACAAAGGATAATCAAGAAATGTTGAAACAAGGAAAAATCAAGTAAGGAATGACAAAATTTATCTAAAAAAATAAATAGTTGATAAAAACTATAAATGATTGAAGAATACTAACTACAGATGAAAATAATTATGATTAATAAACTTTGTTAACCAAAAGCTTAAAACATGTTTCAAAGAAGAGTTACCAAATATGAAGAACAATAAAATCAACATATTTTAATTACCAGCTTTGACAGCGCACTCTGTTTAGAAGAGCAAGTAAAAAATCGTTGCTGGTAATGGTATTTGAACACCACAGTAAAACTGTCAATCTTCCACATCTTAAACCAGTGTACTTCTACATCATACACCTCATTAATATGCTAATTTATGTCAAAAATGAAGTTTAAAATTAGTCACATGTCAAATAATGCTATTAACAACACTTCCCATTTTCAATTTCCCCATGTAAGCTATTGTTTTGTTATAGTAATAAACATTTCAGTCAAAATATTAATTTGATTTTCAAGTTCTATATATGAATGTGTTAAATGTTATAGTGAATAGAAGCTGAAAATTTATACAATATATAAATTAAACTTCAGCAGCATTGACATCTTTATTAAACAAAGGACATGAATTTTAACATACATTATTCAATAGCTTATCTAATGGATAATGTGTATTAGAACAGTTTATTTAGTAATAAATCTACAATACAGATACAAAATACATCAACATTAAGACTCAATCATTATGCTACTTCTTTTTTCCATGGTATGGTACAGTATGTATCGGCCACTGTGGTGTAGTGGTTAGCATACTGGCATGCCAATTTTTTTTCATGAGACATATATATATTTCTATCAATCATATAAACTGTACTGTAGAAAATTAACATATTAGACCCATCGACATTTATAACATTTCAATAAAAAATTATTTAAAATATAAAAATGGTGCACTGGAATAAAATAAGAAGAAAGCTGCCTATTTTACACCTAGCCTATTGCATACATACAGTAAAGATTTTTAAAGCAGCATGCCTCCAGATTCATGTTAAATTTCATGAAAATTTTCAAAATGTATTTAAAAGTTAAATATTGTGTAATGAATAAAGAAAGTAATTAACACATTGTTATCAGAATTTAAATTTTAAGTAAAAACCATAGAGGTAACCGTAAATATATGTGAAAATCAGACATGCAATAAATACTGCAAAACAGTCATTAACAGCACATCACATGTAAATAATATTGCTTGAATCTTTAATAATTTTACTTTTCTTAAAATCTTAGTAATTTTTCTCAAGTTTAATTTTCTTGAAATATTTTGGCTCATCTGGAGGCATGCAGCTTTATTAAAGTTTTGTATAATTTATTCCAATACTTTCAGTATTGTGGAATTTGAGTAAACCACAAAACCCTTAACCTGCAGGAATTTAAAGTGATTAGCCTTTGTCACAATAATATAGCCTTTACCACCAGTACATAGCCTTTGTCACCAGTATTATAGCCTTTGCCATTAGTATATAGCCTTTGCCATCAGTATATAGTCTTCACCACCAGTATATAGCCTTTGCCATTAGTATATAGCCTTTGCCATCAGTATACACCCTTAGCCACCAGTATACAGCCTTTACCACCAGTTTACAGCCTTTACCACCAGTATATAGCCTTTGTCATTAGTATATAGCCTTCACCATTATGCACCAGTATACACCCTTAGCCACCGGAATATAGCCTTTACCACCAGTATATAGCCTTTGTCATTAGTATATAGCCTTCACCATTAAGCACCAGTATACACACTTAGCCACCAGAATATAGCCTTTACCACCAGTACATAGCCTTTGTCACCAGTATTATAGCCTTTGCCATTAGTATATAGCCTTCACCATTAAGCACCAGTATACACACTTAGCCACCAGAACATAGCCTTTGTCACCAGTATTATAGCCTTTGCCATTAGTATATAGCCTTCACCATTAAGCACCAGTATACACACTTAGCCACCAGAATATAGTCTTTACCACCAGTATACACTCTTTGCCACCACAAAATAGCCTTTGCCATTAGTATATAGCCATTACCAATACTATATAGCCTTTGTCACTAGTGTACAGCCTTTGCCACCAGAAAATAGCCTTCCCACCAGAATATAGTCTTTACCACAAGAAAATAGCCATCCCACCAGAAAATAGTCTTTACCACCAGTATATACTCAGTGCCATCAGAATATAGCCTTTGCCATTAGAATTCAGCCTTTATCAATAGTATATAGCCTTTGTCACCAAGTTATAGCCTTTACCACCATTTTACAGCCTTTGCCACCAGCATAAAGCCTTTACCACTATTTTACAGTCTTTGCCACCATTTTACAGTCTTTGCCACCAGTATACAATATTTGCCACCAGTATCCAGTGTATAGCCTTTGCCACAAGTATAAAGCCTTTACCACTATTTTACAGTCTTTGCCACCAGTATACAGCCTTTGCCACCAGTGTATAGCCTTTGCCACCAGCATAAAGCCTTTACAAATATTTTACAGTCTTTGCCACCATTTTATAGCCTTTGCCACCAGTATATAGCCTTTGCCACCAGTATACAGCCTTTGCCACCAGTATACAACCTTGATGGCTTGTGTGATTTAGTGGAACTTTCTTACGTGACACAAATACTGTTGTCAAGGGAGCAGACTTTTTGATTATTATTTGATCAATTACAGTTTTTGTAAAAAGCAAAACAAAATGCAGAAATACCAGATTAGAACAAAAACAACAGATGTAGATTTATTCAAAGTCAGGTTTTAAACATCCATATCCTATCAAAATACAATTAAAATTCAATGTTACGCTAGTCATTATGCAAAGTCAAAAAACTTTCAACAATTTAAACTTTTAAACATATCAAATAAAATATTCTCTTAGCGTTTTTAGCAAATAATCTTTGTAATGAGATTAATACAAAAGTAATAATAATAATATCTAAAAAGTAACTTCACAAAATACAGTACAGATTACAATTTAGAGTACAATATGTTTAGATATTGCAGGGTAAAAAGTTCAAATACCAGTGAGCATTTCAATAATCACAAATTCTTGTAAGTGCAAGTAATAAATTACAATACACCTGAAATATACTTTTACAAGTAAAAAAAGAAATGAACAAATTAACTATTTTTCTGTTTTTCCTTTCAAGCATGTTCATATATTTATTAAGAAGTTTGTTTATATATTTAGTTTTAAGCTTATTTATATCATAAATAACCATTTAAGATACTTGCAACAGTTATATGACTCCTATAAATGTTTGTAAGTTTGTTTATTATAATCAGAATCACTGTTAGGGTTGTATTACAAGCAACAGTCAACTGCAACTTATCTGCAGGGGAATTGGTTGCTGAATGACAACTGCTAATGCTAATTTTACTAACTTGAAAGATATTTTCGACCAATTTCATCAAACTTTAGATAAGGACCTGAAACACAACAGAAATTAATTTGGATTGTCAGGCAAATTTTTTAATCATAACTATACTGAAATTGACTCTATTTTCCATTGGATGTTAATAAATAGTTTTATTACTCATTATACAATGATTACACCCTCCTGTTTCGTAAACATCTGAAGTCATTGTAGTAGAACTGCTTGCAATCCATTTTAACTCTGAGATGAGTATGAACAATCATCAAGGTGTTCCGATTAAAACAATTGTATATATATGGTCATATAACCTGTCAAAAGTCCTTATAACGAATGTACAACACAGCACCATTGTTGTCTCTAATTAACCAATAAATTTGCATCAGCGTTTTTACATAGATAATATAAATGTCATCAACATCATTGATGAAAGAAAATTGATGTTTCAAACATGCTGTATTATAATTGATTAAAGTACGTTTCCTAATTTACCTTTCTTAATATTAAGCTAGAGTTGCGTATAATACTGCACATTTGTTATGGTGCTTTTCATTGGATAATTACAACATAAATATAGGATTTTATACACGGCCACTGTCAATTTATAAAGAAATCTTCATTTTTTTCTTTAAAAAAAAAGATGTTTTCAGTATTATAAATTTTGCTATAAGTTATTCTCAACTGGTTATATGACTGTATATAAATGTTTGTTTACAATATAACCCTCACCTAGTGGCTCAGGTTATACTAACAAACAACCATTTATAAAGGGTCATATCTTTATAACTAATAGTAAAAGTGTCACCATTGTGCTTAAGTGATAAGTGCTTTTATATATTCAGTAAGAAGACTTAAGACTTTATATAATACATTAAATATTAGCTATAATGTTTATGTGCCAAGAATAGTTTTATATATGAAACCCTCAGACAGATGACATGAAGAATACTACAATGTCATACAAGATGTTACCGTAATTAAAACTCAACAAAAACACCCCCACTTTCAACATCTTCACACGGGACAGTCATAAAATCTTCTGTAAATGCAGTCGAATACAACATTTGCTAGGCTGTTGACATGTGCATACACCTTACGCTAGCCTCATATAGATGTGACAATTAGTTTGACCAGGAACCTCCCAATATTTTCATTTTACCCACCATTTTCCTAGGTTGAAAATTATGTTCTACCAAAACCAGTATAGTCTTTAATGTCATGATGACATCCAACATTTTGTTTCCAAATCATTATTTCTTTTCTTTTTTGTAGGTTCCTTTTCTTTAATTGCTAAATACTTTGCTTCACATTCCGTAACTTTAGGTTTTCAACATTCTTTGTGCTCTTTTTATAATCTTTGGCTTCTTTTGTAACATCTATCTTCTCTTCTGCTGTTTCTTCAAAGACATTCTGAAATAATCATTGCAAGCTATATTACTATAATAAGTATACTACAATAATTCTGATAGCGGTACAGTGAGTAAAGCATAGAAATTACAAATGTTTGGATCTTCAAACTTTAATTTATCCATTATCATCCTTGAAAGCTTGAAGTGATATTGACTATAAGTTCTGTAAGTAATGTAACAACAGTAAAAGTGCTTTAGAGAATATATAGCTTTGAAGTCTTTGTATACATTACAGACAGGAACTTTTCTTTTCAGTAAAGTACAAAGAAATAAAACATTTTATCCTTCAGCCATGGCTTATTGTAACTTTGCTGCCAGTATAGCCAGGCAAGCATGCACTTCAGTGCACAGAATAGACCATTCCAAATTAAAATCCTGGCAAATCCGTTAAACAAATTCAGCTGGATATCATGATAATTTGATGCAAAATCTTGCTTCTAGGGAATAACGCATCCAAATTCCATTTTTAGAAATATCTTTTCAGTTGCTTTTTTCTCTCTAGGTTTAACTTTTTGTTTTACAGAATCTTAGTAAAATTTTATGGATTTTTTCTTATTTACTACTGTATAATCATACAGTTTGATAAATCTTTCAAAGACACAACATAATGTTGAAAAACGTTGAACATTTTTTACAAGCAATTTCGACATGACTACTCATATAGCTTAATATAGTAAGATAATAAAATGGTAAAAGGTGTATAAATTATAGTATGGATGTCCTTAAACGTAAAACAACCTCAATTAACAATGTTGTAAAATGTTGACTTCCATCTATCTCCCTGTCACCCCCTGTATTGTTACTAGTGCATTTAGACAAATGACGATATACGGGGGTTACTTCAAGTGGTATGTATCCCTCATTAATATTGTGTCAAGGTGGGCTCGAGGCCGAGTACCGACACACACATACCAATATATCACAACTCTTAGTTCACCTTAACCTAAGGCTATAATTATTATCTTCCTAAATAAAGGCAAAACTTGCTACATTAAGAATGTGTCAACAAATATATATTAAACAAACTTAAACAATAACATACATATTTCAGCTTACAAGATCATAAGATATAAAGGTGTTTTTTTAACTTCTTACACACAAAGGAATACTTACAACAGTTTTAAACTAATAATTTTAGGGTTGTTGTTGAAAACAAAATTTTCACATTTTTTCTTAAATTCATATTTATTTAATCAATTTACATACAAAGAGACAGTTCCAAGTTCAAAATCCACAAAATATAATACAATGGACACAGGGTGAAAAGACAGACACAGAAGCAATATTCTGCAAAACAAACATTATTCAATAATGAGACCATGTGATCTAAATCAAATAAATAATACAATACCAAATTTTCATTTCAAAGACAGTATCTTTCATGATTACAGTATAATCCAATTTTTTTCTCTAAAAATTTCAAAACATAACCACGCTTCATTAACTTGTAACATTCAGTGGGAAATATTTCAACAGAATCAGGAAATATTTCAACAGAATGAAATACTCAGCAATTCATTTTTCTATAGATTAGATGTCTCATTTATCAATTTTTTTTTTGTATTGTGCGTAGGTTTTTTTCACTTGAATTTTCTCGATAATAATGTCTTACAGTGACAGTAAGATGCCAATTTACCGGAAACCATCCGTCATAATGAAACCCGAACAATTCTAAATTAACAATCTTTCTTCCTGTAATTTGAATGAATGAAAATTTAATCATTGAGGGATAATAAGAACAAAACTTGTTAAAAAATAACATTTGAAAATAAAGTTTGAACGAAAAAGAAACATGTGAGTTAATAAGATAGTATCGCTATGTAATTATTCATTAGCCTAAAACTAAGGCAAATCTCATTCATAAAATTCATCTGATTATACCAAATATAGACATGAATTACTACATTTTTTTTGGTAAAAAAACCCCAAAACAACAACAAAATACAAAAACAGGCAATTTAACATGTTTATGATGTCAAATAGGATAATATCAATATGTATCTGGTACATGTTTATAACATCTCATTTCTTTAATCATTATGTTCTTTGTTTAGACATTTTACTTAGCGTATCTCAGGCTGATAGAGCCTTGTTAGCTATTCAACTATGCATCACGTAATGACATTTAATACAGTCGCCCCTCTAGGGCAAGATTTCGGGATAAAATTTGAATTGATATCTTAATATCCACTATTTAAATGGTTACTTATCAACACAAAAGCTTTTACTGGACAGGAAATGATATAATTAAATGACTTGCCGCTACCTAAAGTAAATACAATCGTGTGATATAGAGGTATCCAACTGGAGGGGGTGGTAAAAGGAACAGCCATAAAGTGACTATAGGATAGAATGTAAAAGTTTTAATGCATGAATTATGCACATTTATCTTTGAACCAATTTTAGATGGGTGAAAATCATGTGGTAATGTTCCAGCTTTAATGGTGGAGGAATATCCCCATCTGCCCTTCTGTGCACATGCAAGAATCCATGAAAGCCTATTGCCATTTGTCTTCTGCAATCTTGCTGGATAGTTTCCTCAGATGAAGGAATTTAAAATCCATAACAGGATTTGTTTAGACAGAGGTAGGTGATTCAAAGTTAGCAACCATAACCAACCAGCCATGTAGACCTTTGAACCATAACCAATCCACCATAGCAAAATAGGACCCATAACCCACGAGGCATGCAGGCCTGAAACTATTATATATTATAACTATATCATGGAAGTGTCACATTGACCTTTAAGCTGCTGTATTTCTGAAAAGAGCTTGTCAAGCTTTAATTTTTTAACTGTCCACAATCAACATTGATAATTTAAAGTTGGTCAGCCAAATATATACAATGTACATAGAACCTGGTCTGTAGAGATATACAGGCTAGCTTGGCTGTAGGGATATCCAGGCTAGTCTGACTGTTTACTGATGGCAAAGGCTAAACACTTTCAGTAATTTTTGTTATCATCAAAAATAAATGAAATGGAAAGACCGAAACCAGTAGTAAAAATTGAGCCGTGTCACGACAAAACCAACATAGTGAATACACACTGCCTTGAGTGTGATATTTTCAACAGTCTGATCAGGATCCATGCTGTTCGCTTACAGACCCTATAACAAGTAGAGAAACTGATAGCGAACAGCATGGATCCTGATCAGATTGCGTGGATGCGCAGGCTGGTCTGGATCCATGCTGGTCGCAAACCCATTATGTTGGTTTTGTCGTGACGCGGCTCATTTGTGCACACATCACAATGAACCATTATATATATATATGTTACATGTCGACATTTTACTGAACTACTCCAGTCCTCTTGAAAACATTTTAAAATTCTGACATTACCATTATCATTACTTTTTTCTGCAGGAATAAAAACAACAAAACTTTTTGAAATGAATATTTGAAAATATCACACTCAAGGCAGTTTGTATCCCACAAGGCTATTGGAGTAATTTGTTCATTTATTTTAATGAAGTTTAAATTGTTTATAAGTATAACATGTTGAAGTACCAAAAATCCAGCACTTCATCTGGAATAAAAATAAAAGATATTATCATTATGCCTGAAAGCATAGAAATTATAACTGATACATAGAAAAGCTTTACTTATGTTCTTACAACGCTCAAATGTATTCTAAAATTAAATGTCCTTCTAAATGCATATATGTGTTAATTACAAGCAATGTATGATACATTCTTGAATAAGATATAATGAAAAAATATACATTATTCTCTAAAAAAACACATTTAAAACATTGATATAATTATAAGATACATTATTTTCTAAAATAACTAGAATAAGATACACTAGAGTCAAGTCAAGTCAAGTCAAAAGATTTATTCAGTAAATAAAGGCCACCGGCCCAAAATACATGTCATACAAAATATGGTATTTAACATTATAAAGTTGTGTCTTTTACAAGTTTTTACAATCATTACATTTAAATGCTACTGTGCTATAGATATCATGAGGTATTAAATATAAGTAGAGATTTTCTTTATTATAAAAATATCAGTTGATGAAAGTAATTCATAAAAGTTATGTAGTTCATTTCCGGAATTATACCAGTCTAGATAAGACACATTATTCTCTATATCAACATGAATAAGATACACTGAATAAGATAATTCACTCTGTAAATAAACATAATAAGATACACTATATAAGATACACTATATAAGATACATTATTCTCTAAAATAACAAGAATAAGATACAATGAATAAGATACATTAATATTTAAATAAACATGAATACCAGTAGGTATAAAGCTTCTTATGAAATATTTAATGAAATATACAAACATATTTCTTTCATACAGGTAATTTAAATGTATACTTTTTCAATTTTTCATAAAATATTTTTTGAATTAAATGTTAGAAGATATAATTACATGTATAGCATTATAAGATTCAAATTTTCTTGAATAACATTCAAGAATTTGATACAGAATTCTCTAAAATAATATTAATTACTAAATTAGATACATTTTTCTCTTAAATGACATGAATAAAATAAATAAATAAGATACAAATATACATTATTCTCTGAAAGAACAGAAAAATATTCAATGAATAAGAACTACAAGGTGTCATGATTACTCTTCTTTCAAAAGAAAAACATTTTGTTGGCACATTTACAATGCATGAAATAATTATGCCGTAACTTTTTATCTTTTTAACTGCTTGTAATATCTCAATTATTTAAAATACAAAAAATATCTCACTTTTGGGAGCTAAAAATAGCCTACATCAAGTACATGTATCTCTCTTTTGGGCAATAGAAATACAGTAAATATTTCACTTTTGGACAAAAGAAAATACAGTAAATATTTTCATTTTGGGGACAAAGAAATACAGCACGTTGCTAAGCTTCGCTTAAAGTTAATACATGTACAACCAAAAAATTAAACTGGACTGGAATCTTATTGTTTTACACATAGCTTGGTTTTATGTCCTAAAATCAATTTAGTAAAAATATTTTCATTTTAGAAACCAATATTATC